CAGTTCCCTCGGTACAGTTCCCTCGGTGTGGTTCCCTCGGTACAGTTCCCTCAGTACAGTTCCCTCAGTACAGTTCCCTCAGTACAGTTCCCTCGGTACAGTTCCCTCGGTGCGGTTCCCTCGGTGTGGTTCCCTCGGTACAGTTCCCTCGGTACAGTTCCCTCGGTGCGGATCCCTCGGTACAGTTCCCTCGGTACAGTTCCCTCGGTGCGGATCCCTCGGTGTGGTTCCCTCGGTACAGTTCCCTCGGTACAGTTCCCTCGGTGCAGTTCCCTCAGTACAGTTCCCTCGGTGCGGTTCCCTCGGTACAGATCCCTCGGTACAGTTCCCTCGGTACAGTTCCCTCGGTGCAGTTCCCCACGCAGCCCCCCAGCCCAGCAGCATTTCCTCTCGCTGCATCTGAGCCCCTTGGATTTCCCCTCTGGGCCCTGTGATCCATTTCCCATCACTGCCCCAGCTCCGTTGCATTTCCTGCTGCATCCCAATCCAAGTGCATTTTCCCTTGTGGTCCTGGTGTGTTTTCTATCTGCCTCAGGCTGGGTGCTATCACCCCTCTCCCCTCCATGGTCCGGCAGCGTTTTCCCTTCCCCTTGAGCACCCCAGTCCCGGAACTTTTCCTGTCCCCATCCCCTCTCAGCCCCTGGGAACTGCCACATCTGCCCTTGGAACACCCCAGAACCTTTGGGGCGTTTTGGGTCCTGGGCCCAGCCAGGATTTGGCATTGCTCAAGGGCCTGCTCTCTCTCCCACGGTTCTGGAGCGATAACTGAGATTTTTCCCCTTTTTTCAGGGATTTTGCCTTTAGTTTCCCTTGCCTCTCAGCTCTGTCTTTTCACCCCAGGTTTACGCATCCATGAGTATTTGTACTTCCAAGTGCTGAGCCCCGGAGACATCCGCTACATCTTCACTGCCACCCCAGCCAAGGATTTCGGTGGCGTGTTTGTAAGTATTAAAAACTGAATTTGTCACTTTGGGTCCCGCCATCCTGATATTGCTCCTTGCTGGGACTCGGAGATTTGGAGTTTTGGTTAAAATGGAGCTCCTTGCTCTTCCACAAGCATCCTCAGCCTCAGCAGGATTCCAGAGGGCTGGCTCCTGGTGTCCCTGTTGCCGGGAGCCCAAATGTCCCCCAGAGGGACGAGCAGGGTGTGGGACAGCCGAGCAGGGTCGGGAGGGGGAGCAGCTCCAGTTCCCCCGGCTCACCCCTGCCTGTCTCCTCGGAGAACACGAGGTACGAGCAGATCCACCTGGTCCCGGCGGATCCTCCGGAGGCCTGCGGAGAGCTCAACAATGGGGTCTTCATCCAGGACCAGATCGCCTTGGTGGAGAGGGGGTAGGTCTGGCATGGTGGGAGCTGCTGGGGGACCCTGCTGGGCAGGAGGGGAGCCCTGGCCACATCTCCCCATCACCTCCAGATTCTTCCTGCGCCATTCCCCACAGGGATAAACCAGGGAAACGTGAGGGTGTTCCTACCCTGGAGAATTGCATCTTGCATTTTTTAGCCTGTGGTAAGGTAGAAAAAAAACCCCTGTCCAGGTTCAGACTGAAAAAGAGTAGGTTTAGATCAGACAGTGGGAAAGAACTCTTCTCTGTGAGTGGTGAGACCCTGGTACAGGTTGCCCAAAGAAATTCTGGATGCCTCATATCCCTGGAGGTGTCGAAGGCCAGGCTGGACTGGGCTTGGAGCACCCTGGGATGGTGGAAGGTGTCCCTGCAATGGCAGGGGGTGGAACTGGATGAACTTTAAGGTCTCTTCCAACCCAAACCATTCCAAGATTTCCTATTTTTTTAGGATTGTGGGTGGCTTGTGCCTAAGATAGAGACTCAGGGGAGCAGGGTTTGGAGGAGGTGTGGGATTGGGGAGACAATCCCTAGTTTGGGTGTCTCCAGGCACTCTCTGGCACGTGGCCAGCACAGGTCGGTCAGTGCTGGTCGCTGTGTGCCGCAGGGGCTGCTCGTTCCTGTCCAAGACGCGAGTGATCCAGGAGCACGGCGGCCGGGCCGTCATCATCGCCGACAACGCCTACGACAACGACAGCTTCTACATCGAGATGATCCAGGACAGCTCCCGGCGCACGGCCGACATCCCCGCGCTCTTCCTGCTGGGCAGGGACGGGTACGTGCTGGGGCCGCCTCCCCAGGGCTGGGACAGCTCCTGGCAACGGCGGGTGACACCTCTGTCCCTCACAACAGGGAGCTCCCAGTGCTCAGCGTGGCTCCTGCTGGGCTCTGCATGGATTCAGTCCTGGTTACTGGGCAGAGTTTGAGCTGGGCTGTGGTTTGTGCTTGGGTCTGGCTGCACCCCCCAGCCCTGGGAACACCTGTCACCCCTGCATCCCTCCAGGTACATGATCAGGCGCTCCCTGGAGCAGCACGGGCTCCCCTGGGCCGTCATCTCCATTCCTGTCAACGTCACCAGCATTCCCACCTACGAGATGATGCAGCCCCCCTGGACCTTCTGGTAGCAGCCAAAGGCTGTGGCGGATCGAGGACTTCTGGTGGATCCCAGGATCTTGCCCTAAGGACCAGGTTTGAGGAAAGGATCCCAACATGCTCCGGACATCTTTCTGCTGGCACCGGTGTGTGGCCACGGGCAAACACCAATGCCAGGGGAAACCTCGAGCCTGGCACCAAGCTGTGACTGTGTGGGAGGGAGGTGAGGGCCCAGAGCAGGCCTGCACTTCCCAGGAAACATTTGACCTTGTGCTGCTGCTTTGGAGGAATGCAGGACTGGCAGGGATGGGAGGAGAGCAATACAGCCTTGGTCTGTACCGGCAGGGCTCACCCGCTGTCTGTATATTTTTGTCTGAGCTAATGAAGTCTTAAAGTTTTAGAGAAAGGGAAGTTTCTCTTTTATTTCCAGCAGTCAGCAGATGAAGGGATAAATCTCATCCTCACATTTTTTTCATCGTGAAATTCTCCAAGAACAGGGCTCAGTCAGAGCCTCATGGGACAGCACAGCCTCCAGCACCTGTCCCCAGGGCTGGTGACAAACCCAGAGCCCACGCTTGCACAGGTGTCTGTCCCCTGGGTCACAGCACTCAGCACCCACCAACACAAAGCACAGGTCCCAGCTGTCACCAGTCTCGGTTTATTACGAACACTGAAGGGAATGCGGCCCCGGGACGGCCGGGGACAAGCAGCGGGAGGCGGGGCTGGCAGTGTCACGGGTGTGCCACCCTCGGTCCCACAGTCCAGCTGCCACGGGCACAGCAGCAGGAAAACAGCTCCCCAAAATCCACAGAGGAAGGAAATAACCCCGGCTGCATCCCTGAGCTGCTGCCTGTGCGTCACTTGGAGCCGTGCTGTCCCTCCAGCCACATGTCTGCACACAGGGACAGCGCCACGTGCTGTGGCCTTGAGGGTGGCAGCAGGGGATGGATGACAAGGGGACACACATCCAGTGGGGCCACTGCACAGGCACGTCTCCATGTGGTGGCACTGGGTGCAGGGAAGCACCTGGCACACGCTGCATCCCCAGGCACGGGCACATCCCTGTCCCACAGCTGGAGGGAGGGAGGGACAACTCCCTCCCTGCAAATCCCAAAGTGTCTTCTGGGTTTGGGCTGGCACCACAGCCCATGTCAGCTCCTGGCCGTTCTCCATCCCCAAACGGTCCTGCAGGCGCTGCCCAGGGCTCCGTCATGGGGAGGATGGGCTGAGCAAGGAAGGAGGTGCCTGCAGGGTCAGCTCTGTGCTCCCTGCTGGACTCCAGCTCTGGGCCACCCTCCAGGGCGTTCCCTGCACGATCCTCCTGCCCCTCACTGCTGGCCAAGGCGTGGAATGCAGGATATATAAGGGCCCCAGCTCCATGGTGTGTAGATAGTGCTAATATAGACATTAAATAGTACCCTCGTGCACAGACACACGGACACACACACAACACGCGTTCCCCTCGTCCCTGCAGGGTGGGGAGGACAAGCTCCTCCGCATGCACAGCCTGCACAGACACAGCGGAGCGACCTCGCGGGTGCCCGGGGCTGGCTGACCCCACTCTCCTCCAGCCAGCCCTGCTGGGAACTGGGATGTGGTGGAGGGCTGCTGGCTCACAGCTTGTCCTCACAGGGAGGACAGGGACAGCCTGACACACACACACACACACACACACACACACACACACAGGGACAACACGGACAGGCGGGAGCAGGGCCTGCCTCCGGCTCCCGGCCGCCCCGCTCCGGCACGGCGCCCGCCCGACCCCACAACACAAGCCTGTTCTAGTATTAAAGCTGCTGCCTCTTGGAGGAACCTCCAGGCCCCTCCCTTCCCTCTCCTCTGGGGCCAGGATCACACATCAGTCATCTCATCCTCCAGCTCCGCATCGTCCGTCTCTCCTTCGCCCTCCTCCTCTTCGTCCGATGTCACGTCGGCATCGTCGGCTTGCGCGAGGCACTTGGGACACGAGCAGGTAAACAAGTAGTTCTCCCTGGCAGGAGGGCAGGCAGGACATGGAGGGATGAGACAGGTACAACCCCACACTGCTGCTGGGCAGGAGGTCGGGAAGAGAACAGCCGGGAAGGGGCTAAACCCAGAGGTTTAGCTCTGCCACAGGTTTAAAGGTTTAGAGGTTTAGAACTCTGCCACACCCAGAGGAGTTTGGGGGTTCCATCCCTAAAGGTACCCCGGGTGGACAGGGGGATTTCTCAGCCCCACAGGGGTGATGGGACAGGGGGACAGTGACCCCCAGCAGGAACCTCTGCACTTGAGGGACAGAGAAGGAAAAGGAAGGGTCTGCAGGTGTAAGCCTGCAGAGAGAGGGGGGAACCCAAATCCTCGGTCCCCAGGGCTAGAACACATAACAAGGAGCTCGAAGCACCAGAAGCACCACGTGCTGCACACACCACGAGCCCACCACAGGCCAGAGCAGCCTGTGCACAGCCACACCCCAAGGCACACACAGCCCCAGGGTGGGGATGCTGCTCTGATGGACCTGGGGGTGACAGGGGCTGTGAGTTCCCCCCCAGGCAGCCCCTACCTGAGTATCTTGTTGCGGCTGTGTCTGCTCCGCTCCCTCTGACAGCAGTCTAAGTAACTGATGCAGATTTCCTGTGAGCAAACAGAGATGGGCTGGGCTCAGAATCGCTCCCCATGATCCCAAAGCAGCAGGATTTTGTCCCAGTCCCTCTCAGAATCAGGCAAATACATGGGGTCTGGCAGCCCCTACACGGGATGGGGATTGAATTCCTCTGCTAAGATGATGCAGGACACAGGAGGTTTTGGGGCTGGGGTCCATGGAGGATGCTGGGGACAGGGACGATGCCATGGTGTGATGTCACCTCAGGTCCATCCAGGCCCTGCTGTCTCACCTCTCCTGCTTCGATGTCCTCCAGAGCAGTGAGATGCAGGAGGAAGTTGTTTTCTGGGAAGGATGTCTCAGCGTTGGGGATGCAGCTGTGGTTACCTACAGGCAATACAACCTCTTTGCTAAAGGCCTAAGTGGCTCCTGGAACCACATCCCATCTGAGTGCATGCACGGCAGGACTGGCCATTCCACAGCTGGGCAAGGTGCCAGGGGACACAGAGAGCAGTACCCACCACATCCACCCCACCCCAGCCCATGGATGGCAAGCACAAACCCCTTTCTCCAGGGGAAGAGGCGAGCCAGCCTAGCACAGGACATTTCCCTCCTCGCTACTGGTTTGCCTCCCAGTCCTTGTGTTACTTACAGCAGCTCTGCAGCACGTAGAGCCCTGAGCCCTCGCAGTTGAGGAACTCTCCCGACTCTGCAGCACAGAGAGAGGGGTTAGAGCCCTGCATGGTCCATTCCAGCTCTCCCACTCGAGCACAGAGGAACACCCATCAACACACAGCACCCACGGGCAGCACTGCTCTGGGGCCAGGTGCTGCAGGGTGATTCCCAAAGAGCCTTTCCCTCCCACAGATTCACATCCCGAGGCTGTCCTGTCCCTGCACTCCCACAGAGCCTCACCTGTCGCCCTGAGAATCAGGCCCTTGATATTGTTCTTCACAAGTTCTAGCCACTTTCCCAAGAAAGTAACTATAAACATAGGTGTTTATACATTCCATTAAAGATATGACTTTTGATGGACATCTCTCACAGCCAGTGTGGTTGGGAAGGTGTTAACCTGACTATCCAACCCCTGGTCATGGGCAGAAACTTATAAATATTGAAAGGAAGAATAAAGCTCTCTTTTTGTTTCACCACACCTGGAACTGTGTCCGTGTGACTCATTTGGTGTCCAACAGTGACACTCACCCTTCTCAATGTCCTTGTAGAGCTGGTCAATGAAGGCATCCAGCTCCTCCCGCTGCAGCATGGGCAGATCCAGTGCATCACACGCGTGCACCCACTGGCTCAGGGAGCTGGGGGGAAAAGGGACACTGTCAGGGACCAGTGGGACACTGTGACAGTCCCACAGTGCTGTTAGGAGGCAGTGGGACACTGTCACAGTCCCATGGTGCTGTCGGGGGCAGTGGGACACTGTGACAGTCCCACAGTGCTCTCAGGGGGCAGTGGGACACTGTGACAGTCCCACAGTGCTCTCAGGGACCAGTGGGACACTGTGACAGTCCCACAGTGCTCTCAGGGGGCAGTGGGACACTGTCACAGTCCCATGGTGCTGTCAGGGGGCAGTGGGACACTGTCACAGTCCCACAGTGCTGTCAAGGAGCAGTGGGACACTGTCACAGTCCCATGGTGCTGTCAGGGGGCAGTGGGACACTGTCACAGTCCCACAGTGCTGTCAGGGGGCAGTGGGACACTGTCACAGTCCCACAGTGCTGTCAGGGGGCAGTGGGACACTGTGACAGTCCCATGGTGCTGTCAGGGGGCAGTGGGACACTGTCACAGTCCCACAGTGCTGTCAGCACACGGTGGGACCTTGCAGAGAAGATCCAAGGTGGCTCTGAGCAGCCAAGGTCTGACAGAGCGATGTGAAAGGGTTGGACACAGCCAGGATGAAGTTTTTAAATCTGCCTCTCCCCACCTCTTGAACACAGCCATTCCCACTCCACATGTCCCCTGCCCTGCGAGGAGCACCCACAAAGCCCCAGTACCTGGTTCCTATGCCCTGGCCATTGGTCCCCACGAGGGCAAAGAGGGATCGAAATCCTTCTGGAGTGAACCACTGCAGAAGGGAGAGAACAAAGGAACTGAGCCCAGGCCAGCCTGAACTCGCTCTGCAATGCTGTAAATGCCACAGGGAGCTCTGGGGGAAGCAAGGAAGGAGCAGAGTCCCAGGGGAAGCCCTGGGCAATGCTCCTGGGCTATCTGGGAGGCAGATCCACTCACCCTGCTGAGATATTCGTCATAAAGGGCTTCGGTGAAGAGCAGCCGCAGCAGCTCCAGCTGGCCCTGGCAGGACACAGCAGCACAGTCAGGCTGGGAGGTGCTGTGGGTGTCAGCCCCGGGCTAAGGCTGAGCCCAGCACAGGCCAGAGGCTCAGGAAGGACCTGGGCTCCCCGGCCTGCCCTGCACGGCTGGAGGCTGCTGCCCTCACAGCCGTGAAATTCACCCATTTTAGCAGCAAAAGCCACCTACTCAGCAGCTAAATATCATCATGCTGTCCCAGCCCACAGCAGGAACATCTCCCCCACAGGAAGGAGCAGCATATCCCATGGAAGCATCACAAGGCCAGAACCCTCTAAGCAACTGCTTCCTCACTGTCAGGAGTGCTGCTTCCTCCCTTTGAGCCTGGTGTTTCCAGTGTTTCTTATCCCCGCTGTAATGAGGCTTTTGCGTCTGTGGGCTCACAGACACAGGCAGAAGGAAGGCTCAAGGATTCAAGAACTGCTGGGTCTTACCTTAAATTTGTCCCCCAGCAGCTTGTGCACAATCTCCTCTTCTTCATTTGCTGTCTTGCTGCAGAACTGGGAGAAGGCCTTGATCCACCACTCCTTGTCCTTAGCCTGACAAAATAATCAAGCAGAGGCATTGCACCAACACCACTTTCCTCCCCAGCCCACAGAGAGAGGGAGAATTGTCAGAATAAATGCTGAGAAAGCCAGCCCAAGGAAACAGAGCCTTAGGAATAACATCCACAACGGGATAACAAAACCACCCAGTGTACCTGCTTGATGGTGGCGACCATCCTGGCCATCAGCATGATGCTGGAAGTCTCTGGGGGGTAGTGCATGTTCCTGTGGGATTAAAATGGAGAAGAGATGAGCAGATCAGGGCTGGCATGGGAATGAAGAGCTGGAGGGAGGCAGAGGCAGCTGCCATAGGTGTGGTCAGCCTGTGCTGATCCATCACACCAAAGTGGTGAGCGCAGCATTGCTGTGGGGGTCCAGTGGAGAGAAACCTGCACCCACCTTCCTGCTCCAACCATACAACCCCCTCCCATCCTGCTCACTCTGCCGGGGCTTGGGACAAGATTTGGGTCAGGGGTGTTGCCTCTCCCCTCCGGGACCATTTTTTTCAAAAGCAGGGACAGAGAAGGACCCATGGGATGCTACCAGGAGGATCTCCCAGGGGCTGGAGATCTGCAGGAGCACTGTAAAACTGCAGGAGTGATATGCAGCTCAGTGTTTCGTAGCTCTTTAGTGGGAGAAAAATAAGGAGTGCTCAGCTGTGTGTCCAAACCCTTGGGCTGCCAACATCACAACACCCAACCAGGAGGAAGAGCTGGGCAGTGTCCCACGGCCATCCCCACCCTCCAGCCACCTGGAGCAAGGAGCCAGCCCAGGAGAGCCGGCTCCCCTGCCTGTGGGGCAGCAGGAAGGTCTGGCCCTACCTCCATGCCTCCTGCAGCTTGTTGAGGGGGTGCGTGGGGTCGTCGCGGGACGGGCCGAGGCAGAGGACCTGGTGGTACTGCTCCAGAGCTGCCTGCCTGCATTCTGCACTGCAGTACATCACCTAGAGCGAGGGGACAGCGCTGGCATTGGCTGTGGCAGCAGGAAAAGGGGCTCCTCCAGCCAGCTGTGCCCCCTCCCTGACCAGCAGAGCCTGGCCCATAGCACGGAAAGGCACACAGCACAAGAGGCTGGCTGGATGGAAAGGACTCAGCGATCCCAAGGAGAGCACGGTCCCTCCAGGCAGTGCCGTACCTGGCAGCGGGGACACTGCTGGTGCAGGTCTTTCCGGATGCTGCACTGCTCCGGGTGAGGCAGCACCAGAGAGCTCTTCCCCAGCAGGCGCTGGGCGTTCTCCTCCGCCGTCTCCAGCGCCCGCAGACAGTGATCACAGGCTGTGGGGACACAGGTGGGTGGGTGGGTCATGGATGGATGGATGATGGATGATGGATGGATGGATGGATGGATGGATGGATGGATGGATGGATGGATGGATGGATGGATGGGATGGATGGATGATGGATGGATGGATGATGAATGATGGATGATGGATGGATGGATGGATGATGGATGGATGATGGATGGAGGGATGGATGGATGGATGGATGGCAGGCACAGGAAAGCCTTTGGAAAGGAAAGGGGCCAGAACCCAGAACAAGGCAACACAACTGGTACCAACACCAGAGAGGAGCAAAGTGATGGGGCTTGGAGCAACCTGGGCTAGGGCAAGGTGTCCCAGCCCATGGCAGGGGTGGAATGGGATCTTTAAGGCCCCTTCACCCCATCCCATTCCAACATTCCATGGTGGCACCTGCCATATTCCTCCAGGGCTGACTGAAGTCACCATCCCTCAGATGACACCCGAACTTGTCAACAGTTTAGTGCAGAGGCAGAAAAGGCAGCAAGGCCACCTTTATAAGGCGCTAAGATGAACCCAAACCCTTCCCTTGGTACCGGGCAGCTCCTCTGGGGTCCCGCGGTCACCCCACCAGGACAGGTGACAGGGACGGGGACATGCCAGCAGCGCCAGCCGCTCACCTCGGTAGTTGTACAGGGCATTCCAGAGGAACTGGGATGACACCACCGGCCTCTCCACGAAGACTGTTTCCCCTTTGCGAATGTTTCTGGTGGCGAACAAGCCCTTTCCCTGCCGAGGGACAACCGCGGCTCAGGGACGCGCCCGAAGCCGAGTCATAGCCGGGAGCTGAGGGAATTCCTCCATCCCGAAGGGACCCTGCGGGCTT